GATAGAAAAAGGAAGAACCGAAGCACAACGTCATAAGAGCCAACTAGTCTGAAAATTTGAGGGGACGCGGAAATAAAGAAAAAGGAATAGAAATAGAAGCTGTCAAAATTGTTCAGCTTGAGAAAATCGCAACATTATCAGGAAAATGATTCAGACAGGAGAAGCGACCACGGTCAACCAGAGACGGAACTAGCCAACAGTTTCAGTATTAGGGAGCTCGCACTGCCGGATACTTGGCCAAACTGGTACTTGGCCAAAATATGTCCGATAACAAACTGTTTACTTATCTTTAACATCTTATCTAATACAGTGTTCTAAAGACTGAAATATAATTTAGAGCACAATTTGCTTATTGAGTTCCAGGAATCAATATTAATTCCTTTAAGAAAGGTACTATACCAGAGCCCAAGATCAAGCTCACTTCATATTGTTCACCTTGACAACCTTGTAATCTTCATTCTTGTAACCTTGAGCGGAATTGGATAACCAATAGGCCAGTCGCACATGGATTTCTTGAAACTCCCACTGAAATCTCCCGCAGACCTACTGCGTTTCGAATCTTTGTGAGTGCTTTTCGATTCATAGATGACAAAAATATTTTGCATTAAAATGCAAAACAGTCCAAAAACAGGGTTTAGATGGCAATAATGAGCTTTCGCAATCGTGATTGACACGAAACATTCTTCGTTATCAAGAAAAATTATATGTAGCTGCATTTTATGAGAGTAAGTTGCGCAGTCGTCTAATGTGCGGAAATGATTGGCAGACTTTGCAGACTTATGTTTAGACTTTGCAGACGAAAATTTGAATTTTTCAGGCTTTGACCTGCGTTGCGACTATGAGTGCTCGGCCCCAACGCGGAGCAATTCAGACTTATAAAACCTTAATCTAAAACCACGACATCGACCCTGGCAGAAAACCATAGTCAAGAATATGAAGGTTGACTCAGATTCTTGATCAATCTGTACTGCATTTGCAAATATGACTGCTTTTCTCCGTCACTCTTTTGGGTTCTTTGAGGCCACAACTGTTTTTCGGTCTTGATTCTATTTGGCATATTTTCTTCTTTTCATCTCCAAATCCATATTTCTCGGAGAGTTCTAGTTAGTCATTAAATTCTGGGTAAAATTCCACGTTTGTGCTCCTTTTTGTTTTGTTTCGTACAGTATCCTGTTTTATCTCATTCCACTCAGCATTCGCTTCCAGAAGTTTTTCTTTGCACTTGTTGCCTTTCCTTATTTTCCGATCGTCTGTCTGCTGCCTCAACAGTGGAACTAGGTTCCGACTGATTTTACGTTTGCTCAAATTTTAAGATTCTCGCTGCTTTGATCGGTTCCCCGCTTTAGATAAGTTGAACTTAAGCTGTGCATTTCATTGGTTTTTTAGTTAAAATATAAAAATGGTTGGAATGTGGTCCACTAGTTTTCAAATGTTTTAGGAAACTTGCCAAAAAGAGTTTTGTAAATAGTTTTTTGCTTAGCCCGTCTTAAATTCCAATTTTTTGTGCTCAAACACAGTTTTATCGACAGCACACTCTATTCGGAAGATATATTCCCAATTTTCTTGTGGTTATTTGAATCAGTCTTTCAACAAAACCACATCATGTACGCTTGCTCACTGAACAAAATACTAGTTTGATAAAAATGTACAATTGTTTCCCTTTGAGCCCCGCAAACTGATCTGTTATTTTTGGCTCCCGTATTGCAAATGTATTCATATAAAATCTAAGCTTTGTTATCGAAATTATACTGCTGGTGGGTTTTGTCACTTTCGTCGAGGCATATTTGGAAAAAAGATGATCGTTTGCTAAAGATATAATTCCTTCAGATATGGGGCCCGCGTAATCTAATTGAATTTCATGCCATGGCTGCGACAACAGGAGTAGCAGTTTTGGTGCGTTTTTTGGAATCAATTATTATCAGGTTTTTGCCAAATTTAGATTCCCGACGTTCTTCTGCCATGTTCATTTTATCTTTTTGGGACTTTATATGTGTGAACGGGGTTGAACAAACGCAGATGAAACCAGACTTATGAATATTGAAAACAAAACCACAGCATCGACCCAGTCAAGAAAGCTGCGTGTTTTTTTTCAGATGTCAATAACCCACAAAAATTTGCAAGAATGGCATACCGAGACGTGTCACAACTTACTTGAAGCTTCAACGTATACCAGGTGCCTTATGTGACCCTTGTTACCGCAATAGCTTTGCTGCTGAATGTTTTTGCAAGGATTGACCAATTTCTCGATTGGTTTTACGAAGTCAGTTGGCCAAACTTATTTGAAGTCATGACCAAACTTATTTGAAGTCATGACCAAACTTATTTGAAGTCATGACCAAACTTATTTGAAGTCATGACCAAACTTATTTGAAGTCATGACCAAACTTATTTGAAGTCATGACCAAACTTATTTGAAGTCATGACCAAACTTATTTGAAGTCATGACCAAACTTATTTGAAGTCATGACCAAACTTATTTGAAGTCATGACCAAACTTATTTGAAGTCATGACCAAACTTATTTGAAGTCATGACCAAACTTATTTGAAGTCATGACCAAACTTATTTGAAGTCATGACCAAACTTATTTGAAGTCATGACCAAACTTATTTGAAGTCATGACCAAACTTATTTGAAGTCATGGCCAAACTTATTTGAAGTCATGATCAAACTTATTTGAAGTCATGACCAAACTTATTTGAAGTCATTGCCAGAGGAAAATCTTGAAATTAACGATGAAGTGCTATGATACTTGATCGATCCAATAAAAAACCACTGGCTGCTATCTGAAGTGTCATTGTAGTAGTATATTTGCCATTTGTCGATAGCAGGAAATGTGCGTAAAAGGCAATTATTTTTCAAAACCTAGATCATCGTGCATCGTAGCATCGGCAATATTTGATTATTTTGAATTGGCTGACGCCGCGTTATTTCCATATGAAGGTGGATATGTCTTGAATTAGATCTTGACTCCACTTATCAAGTAAAATTTATCTGTTGTCCATTTTCTATGTGTTGTCCCCATTGAGTGAGCAAAACTGTGCACATAGACGCTGCCAAGATGTTAATCTACAGTAATGGTCTCGATCACACAGTAGTCAGCAGCTTCTCACTGAGGCGTAAATATGGTTATGGTTGGGACTTCTTACCACCGTAAACAGTCGAGTGATATTTTAATGGTACTGCTTGATACATGTTGTTGTTGGGCCGAAGTATTCAAAAAACATTCAACTCCATAATCATAACGAGTTCAAACTGCACTGGGTGGGCGCAGAATTTGGGGTCTTCAAGTTCACATCTTCAAGAGACCAGTCTTTGAACCTGTTCCAACAAATTACAAAATTTTTGCGGATTCCGCATACAAACAGCGATAAGGTAAATTTTGTCGGCATTTTAATTTTGTTGCGGATTTTGCAACCAGTGAATATAAATGTGGTTGTTCCAGGTTCTGTAGTTGTTTCTGGAAAGCTAATTAAGTTCCGCAGTTTTATGCGCATTGCGCTTACACTTTGCAGATTCCGCATACAATTTGTGGAAGGCAATTCCAATTTGCGGATTCCATTTCAGTTGCAATCCACGACTGATGTGGGTTCCGCATTTTTGATGCAGATTCCGCAATTTTCTTCAAATTCTGCTAAGGTGTCTGTTTTTGGAACAATTTTGAGCCAAACAGTGTTTTTTCTTTTTTTTCTTTGGACTCCAAAACAGCACAGAAGAACAAAGAAAATCATATATTTCAAATTCTGCAACAAAACTGTTGTTAGCATGATGCAGACTAAAAGATTAAACATGTTAATCAGTACTTCTGTTTGTTTCAAGGCTGAGTTGAGAAAGACTTCTTTTGTTGATCGAATTAGTGCTGGCCATTATGAAATCCAAAGTTCTGAGTTATAATTGAAAGCCCGTATTACTGAATTCTTAAGTTAAGAACTTGAAGATATGGTCTTAATTTAAGATATGGTCTTTTAGATCGAGCACCGTAGCTGACCTTCAAATTACATAACTTTATATTATCATTTCAGACTTACCGGCTACTAACAGAGCAGTACCACTTCCTTCTCCACGAAAAATTGTTACTCAGTATCAATTTAACAAACAATATTGTATCTTGGAGGATTTTTTTTCGGCAAATTTGTTCTTTAAGTCACCTTAGAAATTCTTTCTATCACGTCCGACATCACTTTTTCTTTGGCTACTTGGAACTCTACTAATTTCACTAAATAATTTAACGGATCACCGTATCTGGTCCGCTGTTTTTTTAGAATTCATGCTCTTTCGTATTTCGTCCATTGCTGCTGTCATCTTAAATGAATCGTTAACTGGCTCTGGCCTCATAGTTGTTACCATAATTATGGACCCTTCTGGCGACCTTTCAACCAAATTATCTGATGAAATCTGCTGCACGCTGTCTGTGAGTTATACTTTCTCTATTGTTTTTTCTTTAACCCTTTTGACAATCTGATTGGCCATCTTCAATTTTTCATCGTTGATGCTTTTGTCTTTTTCAAATTCTTTGCAATTTCTTGTTGTGCCCGCTAATCTCCGTAGGCTGAATTTAATCGAAAAAGCAACAATAAATTCGTATTCTCGGTAATACAAAATTCAACGGCATTATTGATAATTTCATCCCAAAATTTGCTGTACAACGAGTTCATAAATTCACCAAAAATCAGCTTCAATAAATAAATTGGCGCAAGCTAGCCACAAGAACCGGTCGGTAATATCCTTGGGACAAATTGCTCTTTTTTAGCGGCCAGCCTTAATCAAGGCTGAACCGAATTAGAATAAAAAACAGAAAAAAATAGGATATAACCCCCTTTTTTAGTATGTTAATACATGGGCAGGTGGGGGACTTGAACCTACGTCAACTGTCGGTACGTTAGCTTAGGCCACTCGGCCAACTGTGCTTATTTTATATGCATTTATACTCTTGTTTTACATTTACATTTGCGCTGCAACATCCTCCACCCCTAAACAAGGAATAACGGGAGCGAGCTTTACGGTCGGGCGGGTCAATTCGCTCGTAATGGTCTTTATGTCGGCGGATCTCGCGCATCCGTCCTTACCATAGTGCAGTCTTAGGATACGTGCGAGTGGAGTGTCAGGCTCTGTGACCCAGACCAAGTCGTCGGCTTTCAACTTAACGTCTGACTGGTTGTACCACTTTGCCCTCCTTTTGAGGGAAGGAACGTTTTCCCGCATCCACCGTGTCCATATTGCGTTAGCGTATGATTGCGCTCTGGTGAACCGCTTTTTATGGTCGAAGTTTTCTTCGAAACTTAGCGACGGAAAACCCGCTGCGTGTTGGCCAAGGATAAAATGACTCGGGGTCAACGCCTCTACGTCAAGCGGATTGGAACTAACGGCTGTTATCGGCCTAGCGTTAAGTGATTGCTCAACAAGGCACAGCTTGGTTCTTAGAACCTCCTCAGTTACTCTTCTGTTGCCTAGGATGTCATACAAAACACGCTTGACACTTCGAACTAATCGCTCCCAGGAGCCACCATGGTGCGGTGCGCTGGGTTGATTGAATTTCTACTTGATCCCTTCCTGAACAAAAACAGCGGGTGCCAGCTTGTTCCAACTCTCAGCGCAAGCTAAGAGCTCTTTCTGAGCATCAACAAAATTCGTGCCGTTGTCGGACATGATGGTATTCGGAGTACCGCGACGTGCAATAAACCTCTCCACGCCCATCACACAAGAGCTTGTGTCAAGCGAGGGGACCACTTCAATGGGCACCTCTCTAGTGGGGAGACAGGTGAACAAAAAACCCCAACTCTTTTCCGTACTTCTCCAGATTGGAACTAGGAATGGCCCAAAGTATTCGACACCTGTGTTAGAGAAAGGAGGTTGCTTGTAACCCAGCCTTTCAATGAGCAGATCAGCCATAGTATGAGTTACGGTTTGCGCTTTGAGTTTTCGGCACGCAACGCAAATATTTCCAGTGTTTCGCAGCAAACATCGCAAATTTAACACAACGTATTTCAAATTAACCACCGCACGCATGTAATCCATGCTTTGATGGAACTTCCTAACGTGCAAGTGTTTAACCAATAACCGAACAACCGCGTGACGTGCATCAAGTATAATCGGATGCTTGCTATCGAAATCGGATTTAACCAAGCGGCTTATGCGCCCAGTCGAGCGAAACATGCCAGCTGGTCCAAAGAACGGCAAATACTTGGCGATCTGACTATTCCTCGTAATAACTTTACCGGATCTTAGTAGTTTTAGCTCACTAGGGAATGTCTCATCCTGGGACAGGTAAATGAGCTTCTGTTCAGCAATATCCATTTCACACGGGTCTGTAATTTCTAATATACTCGACCGGAAATGTTTATGGGATGGCAGTCATGTTAGCAAAAATGCTACCGTGCGTTTGTATTTACAATTGAATTGAATCTCTCCCATTTTCCGAAGGGAAGATTTTTTTCTGTCAAAACATCGACGACAAAAATTGACGAATTTTCCAAACAAATTTCGATATCACATGATGGTCTTTTGAGTCTTATTTTATCAATAAACCTTGTATCGGGCTTGAACGGCCAATCAGTCGTTCTCAGTATACTAGGGCCACTAACCCAGCTGCTTTCCTCGAGGGCTTCCGAAGAAATCCCTCGTGTACCGGTATCAGCTGGGTTATCACCGCTAAGTATGTGATGCTACTGATCAGTGGTGGTAGACTCCAGAATCTCACCAGTGCGGTTACCAACAAAAACGGGTAGTTTATTACAGGAGTTAAGCCACTGAAGAACATTGGTACTATCTGTCCACATGAAAATATCCGTATTTTTGAAACTAAGACCTTTCAAAGTTTTTTATTTTAAGTGGGTTGCAAGAAGAGCCGCTTGAAGCTCTAATTTTGTAATAGAAAGCGCTTTCATACGCGCGACGCGGGCTTTGCCAAATACAAAAGCTAATTCGGTCTGATGCGAGCTAGCAAGTCGCGCACGAAGGAAAACGACGGCACAAAAAACATCCTGCGAACTATCACCGAACATGTGAAGTTCTATTCGGTCGAAAGGTCCAGTATAATAGCTGCGAGGTATTGTCAGAGAACCTAACAAATGAAGACCTGAGTGCCACTCAAGGAACTGCTTTTTGATTTCCTCTGGCAGATCATCGTCTCATTTTTGACCGCTGATTCGCCAGATATCTTTTAAAAGAAGGCGGGCCTTCACGGTATACGGAGCCACTAATCCAATCGGATCAAAAACAGGGGAAACAAAACTCAACACGGTACGCTGGGTGATTGCTTTGTCTAGTGGACGATCAACCCCTCTACTAACAACTAAGGTATCTTTGACGTGATCCCACTTAAGACCGAGAACATGCGATGACTGGTCTGGACTCGTCAAGGTATCACCCCTGTTTGAAAAGAATCCAGATAATCATCCATATAAAACTTCTGGACAACAGCCGAAGCTGCTTCGGGGTACTCAGCTTGGTTATCCGATGCAGTCTTATTCGAAAGCAAAAATCGCACAAGTCGGCCAGTCACGAACACCAAAAATGTGACGCGTATATTGGTGAACTACCACACTTGATGTGGGGTCCTCCCTCCACAAAAAACGAAGAGAAGGTTGATCTTCTTCACGGACTCCAACCTGTAAAAACATCCCCTCAATGTCAGCTGAAACGGAGTATTTATGCTGACGGAATCTTAAAAGTACAAAAATGAGGTTTTGAAGGAGATCCGGGCCAACAAACAGAGATTTGTTCAAGGAAGCGCCATGACACTTAGATGCCCCATTCAGGACTCGGCGCACCGTACCGGGTTTATTCGGGTTCAACACCGGGTGATGCGGGAGATACCACTCACGATCGGCTCGTGGTTTGGGATCGTGTACCTTATCGGTTGTGACATATCCTTTTTGTATATCTTCTCTAATTGTTTCGGCGTACTTCTCACGAAGCGACGGATCCTTATCTAGCCTCTTTTCCAAAGACTTTGATTGAGCCAAGGAGGAAAAATACTTATTCGGTAAAGCACTTTCTTTATCGTTCCAAAGCATTGGTACAATGTATCTCCCACCATCGTGAAAAATGTCATTTTTCAAAACGGACAAAGCGCGTTTATCGGCGGTGGAACGGGCATCTACTTACTTAAAGGCTCCATATGACTCCAACGTATACCAAGTTTTAATTTGGTCCGCAAGAGACATGTCTTCGACAACACATTTAAAGCAAGACGAGTTCGACTTGAAGGACGGCGGTAACGGACCACTTAAAAATCAACCTATCGGAAGGCGTACGGCGCACGGTGAAATAGAGTCCTCCCGCAGAAGTTACTCAACGGTTCTTTTGGCATGGTAGAAATCCTGTCCAGTAATTATTTCGACTTCCTCGTACTTAATATGTATTGGTTTTATCGGAGCCAACTGCGGGTTTTCCTGTAATTGAGTAATACTTATGTTATCCGATCCAATGCGAATATGATCCTTAACATCAGCTCGAAAAGAAAACGAAAGTTTACTATTATTCGTTTCGGCAGAAACTTTAAAACTTCCTTGACGAGTTTTCATCAAGCTCGTGGAATTGAATCCTTTTATGGTGAGGTTAACGGGAGTGCCAACCAAATGGAGACGTTTTACGAGATCGGCGGATACCCATGAGTGCGTGGAAGCACTATCGCAAAGAGCTAGGGCATTAGTAATCGTCACATCCGAAGGGACGGCGAGTGATGCAACTGGCAGGAGGCCTTTAGTTTACTCCTGGCTATGAATATCGCCGACGGCAGCGTTAGTCGATTCATGTTTATTCATGTTTAGTGTTTGCGTTACCTGTCGCCGGGGAACTTTTAGTATCCTTAGGAGGAAAAATTTTCTCAGCTCCATGTAAGAGCACGATGTGCGTGCTTTCACAAAAAATCTGGCTTGGGGCATTTTCTGGCCTTGCTACAGTTACGAAAACTGTGATTGCTCTGTAAACACGCAAAGCAAGGTTTTTGTTCGGCTACATGTTTCACTCGTTGCGTAAGTTTTTCTTTTTGAATACAGCGCAATTCCAAAGAGCGTGTTGAACTTTACATACAGAACATGGAGATAACTTTGATTTTTCCTTAGTCTTATCACTTACCTTTGCGATACCTTTTGTACCTACTTTTTGCTTCACTGGTTCTTCAGACTGAACCTTAGAATTACGAGCATTTACCCAATACGAGCATTTTCAGATAGGTAAGCTTTTCATTGTCACTGAGTATGGCTGAATCGACTGTCGATATGAACTGTCCAAACCACTCATGCCAATTAAGTGGGTTGCCATCGAACTGTGTCAGCTTCCACTCAGGGATTTTCTTTTCACTCATCTTTTCGGCTGTGCATGAGTATATTAATCAACTCTCCAGTCAAAAGTGGACGCTCGACGTCTGCACCAGGTGAATTATCGGGAGTTGGCGCTGGGTAACTCGGAGAATTACCGTGATAATCAGGAACGAATGGTTGATTAGCCTGTGAAACACTTTCAGGCTGCGCAAAGAACACAGTCCCTCCACTTGTAAGAGGAACAAAATTATTCGGAGGAACAATCGGAGTTACTGCGGAAAAAACAGTTGTCGAAGGAACATAGCTTTGTTGAGCTGACATTAAAGAGACAGCAACAGCTGGTCTCCACAAATTACTATAAGGATTTTGGTGGTCACTTGAAAAGTTATAACTGCTAACGGGAACACCCATATGTTGTTGTGATATAATTACAGGTGCTTGGTAGCCAGCTACTACTGATCCTATAGTTTGATGTGTTGAAGAAACCTGATTAGTTGTTGTTGATGCAGGAACGAATGGTGCTACACCAGAAGGAACGTCTGCATATGTTGTCGGAGCAAAAAAGTTCTCAGAAGTTACCGGGACTACTGACCCTGTGTTTGGATTACCTAGCACTGGATGAGTGTACAAAAAAGTTTGCTGAGGCAAATTATTAGAAACAGGTTGAATGACCTGCTGTAACCCTACTGGATTGTTAACGGAAATCTGCGATTGGACCAAATTCGACAAATTATGTCGTTTCCGTAAATGTGGTTACTGCAATACAATCCCGGTTCACTAGAAGCTGCCTGGACATTATTCACTCCTGTAAAACTTGATGAGACCGTGTAATTTGTTGATACAGGATAAGTTTACTCAGGAGCTGTCGAACAAACGTGCTGCTCTTGATTCGAAACTAAAACAGAGTCAGGCTGATCGTGGTCTACAGATTCGACTCAG